CAGTCTCGTCATCTTCGGCCTCAATAAACCTCGAAGCTTTTCCATATTATCTTGAAAAGCACTGCTCCATTTTTTTTGAGGTTTTCTTTGGTACGATTTTGCACTGTCTCAAAGTCTTATCCCTCGCCGAAAACATGACAAGCGCATATGCATTCATAAAGTAGAAGGTTTCATTTCTCACTTCGAACATTGTTTTGGAAATCCCCATTTGACCTACATTTTTGTTGACTATATGTCTGGTCCACATTGTTTGACCTTTAGAAATTGTATGGATTTCAAATTGTAAGTGATTGATTTTGTTGATGACGCAGACAATACACTTACAGGAGGTGGGCATGTCGGAAAATAATCCGACATGTCCTTGATCAATATCCTGATTGGGAAATTTTGGTCGACAGATTTTGGCAAGTGAGAAAGGGCAGAAAAAAAAAAATGGAAGCCTCTTTTACTACAAGAAGCCATCCTTCATAGGATGCTAGGAAAATTGCACCATCTAAATCCTCGATGGTTTTGTGATAGCATTTTAAATCGTGAGGATTGTAGATGATATATTCAGATGACCTGAATGCTAGTAGCCATGGAGAAGAAGGTTGAACTTGAGCTGATGCTTTGAAAGATGAATGTCTGAAGTCTCTACGTGCTCCACGAAATCCTAGAAGTTCAATGATTGATAACCGATTTGTAATGGCGGATAAGATATTAGAGGGAAGATCAATCGATGTTCTGATCATTAATTGATGGGCAACCTCGTTGTTCGATTGATCAATACTTGTCATTTCTTTCGTCCTTTCACACATGATTGATTAGCTGCATATATAACAAACAATTATTTAAAATTATCAAAGCTTTTACATTATATATGAAGATTGTAAATTTAGATTATAATTATTAATTATTAAAATAAAAACCTAGCTATAATAAATATTTAAATGTTGTAAACTTGATCAAGAATTATTTCAAGAAAATATAGACAATGATTTTATATATAAAAATCATCAAGAATCCCTCCGATATCTTATTTGCCATTGCAAATCAATTATCCATCATTAAACTTCTAGGATTCCATGGAACATGTAAAGACATTAGACATTCATCTTCCAAAGCATCAGCTGAAGTTCAACCTTCTTCTCTATGGCTACAAGCATTCAGGTCATTGGAATGTTTTATCTACAATCCTCACAATTTAAAATGCTATTGCAGAACCATCGAGGATTTAGATGGGACAATTTTCCTAGCATCTTATGAGATGGCTTCTTGTAGTAAATGAGGCTCCCATATTTTTTTCTGCCCTTTCTCACTTGCTAAAATCTGTCTACCAAAATTTCCCAATCAGTATATTGATCAGGAGCATGTCGGATCATTTTCCAACATGCCCACCTCCTGAAAGTGTGTTGTCTGCGTCATCAACAAAATCAATCACTTACAACTTGAAATCCATACAATTTCAAAGGTCAAAGAATGTGGACCAGACATATAGTTAACAAAAATGTAGGTCAGAAGGGGATTTCCATAACAATGTAGCGAGAAATGAGACATTCTACTTTATGAACGCATCCGCGCTTGTCATGTTTTCGGCGAGGGAAAAGACTTCTGACAATGCAAAATCGTACCAAAGAAAACCTCGAAAAAAAATATGGAGTAGTTGCCTTATTTCTATAGGGAACATGCTTTTCAAGATAATATGGAAAGGCTTCGAGGTTTATTGGAGGTCGAAGATGACGAGACTGTTTCAGTATGCGGGACTACATACAAGGACGTGAACAGACCTTGTCCCATCATATATATGAAAGATGTCATCAATACTTCTTTGGTTCATAGACGTCATTGTAGAGCCGTGTGGATTGGACCCCGGTTCTTCGAAGTCGTTTCCAACAACCAATGGGTATAAGAGATATATTTGCTGCTTTAGTGTGTGTGTAAATATATTATATATTTACTTATTTTGTTAACTTTTATTTAGGGAAGTTGCTGAGTTAAAGTGTTAATTGTTGAAGGGCTTAAAGTGTCAACTTGGGTTTCTTCTGCACGGGGTTGATAATGTGAAAAGTCTTGATATCTAATGTTTTCTAATATAATCTTTACCACAACATCCATTTGATTTCTATGGTATTTTGTTGATTCCTAAGCAAAGATCGATTCAAATCTTTGAATTCCTTGACTGAAAACACGGTTCTTATCGACATTGTCTTTTTCTTAACAGGCTCAATCAATCCCGATTAATAACGTCTTCAACCATACGACAAATCTGCAAATTTGAATGCTCCAACCAGTCGTTAATTAAACTTGGGAGGCAAAGAACATAAATAGACTAGATCAACAATATCTATACTATATTATAAAGCATTTGACCGTCGGTAGTGGTGGCGGCGGCCGAAACTAGCGGTGATGACCATTAAAACAAATACCATATTAAGGTTATACATCAAACTAAGGTAAATTAGTAATATTTTAGTTTCTGCCTCATTCTTGTCCCATCTTGTTTGTTCCACCTATTTTGGTGGAACAAGAATAAACCTCTTTTGTCTCATGCTGTCCCACCTTGTCCCAGTTCTTGTCCCTGTCCCATCTCCCATGTTGCACCAAACGTGGGACAGTGGGTTTTGTTCCGTCCTGTCCTGTCCTCTCCTGTCCCATCCCATGTACCAAACGCAACCTTAATGTCGGATTTGAGAAGAGCTATCTCTGGTATACCATTTTCAAATTAGGTTTATGTGTTGTAACTTGAATTGAAGAGTACCCAAATCCTACCACCATGTGTCCAATTATGACTTTCAATGGTCAAAAGAGTTGTATTTTGATTCCAAAATCGACAAGAATTTCTTGGGTTTTGGATGAAAATTTTGACAATCGTTAGATACCAAGGTTTTAGGGATCATGAATTGGCATCGAAGTCTGTGATACAGGTTTGTAAATCCAGTGGCAGTGGGCCTTCTGAGAAAGTTACACTTTCTTTTGATGATCAAACGTCCATTTTCATAGATTTGGTTTATAATGAGCTCAAACTTTTTCATAGTTCTAGGTTTTAATTTTAATTTGTTCGTTGTTCTTTTGTTCTTCCAGTCGTAAAAATGAGTATGAGGTGGACCATTGCTATCATCAAAATGAAGATACAGCTCTAATTTTCTCAGTGGAGGTAAAGCCTCACATCTCTAAGGTTTTTGATGGTGAAAGCTCAACATTTATTGCATTCGGAGCCCGAGGCACTGGAAAGACCTACACGATCCAAGTAAACTTAGTTTTACGTTTCTTATTGTTTTTTTTGTGGCTGGATGAAGACTATAATACATACTTGATTCTTAACTAAAATTGCTGAATTAACTTGGTTAAGGGACAATGAACCTAGCAACAATCTACACAATTCTGGTGCAGTTACCATCACATTAATCTTATATTTTTTTTTTTGTTATTTGAAGGGTTCCAAAGAAAATGTAGGCTTAGGAATGATGGTAATGGATGAAATTCTCAAAATGGTAGAAGGAGGAAAACATGCAGTTGCAGTATCAATCTTTGAAGTTTTCCAGGATCATGTTTATGATATATTAGATTCCAAGAATTCTGAGGTTCGAGTACTAGAAGATGCTCAAGGAAAGATAATACTTAAAAAGGGCTTTCTAAGGCAAGGGAAATGTTACAATCATAGATATTGTGATCGGAAATGATCTTGTGTTTGTAGGTTTGGTATAAAGCATCAGTTGTTTCTAACATCAAAATATTTGTGACAGGTACGTGTGAAATCGATGTTGGAATTTCAGAAACTATATTGCATGGGGAGTGGTTCGAACAAGTCAAAACAAAAGATAGCACTGGAATTGCCACGAAGCAGCCATAAAGCTCTATGATACATATTTTAGCTTCTGATAAAGGAGAAAATCCTAAATGTGTTGGAAAGATGAACTTTCGTTGATTTGGCAGGTTTGGAACAAAATCTTCTCTATAGAGAAGCTTTTATTGGAATAATCCCATTCAGAACAAATGAGTTTGAGCTGATACTTACAGGAACCTTCATAATGAGAGTCTGCAGAACCAATCATACAAACAAAACAGAAAGACAATATTACGTCATATACATTAAAGATGATTTATTACAATCACATAAATAATATTGGGGTTTATTTCTTAATAATTATCAAGACAAACTTTTTTTATTACAATTAAAAGACCATTAAAGATGATTTATTACAATTACATAAATGGTATCGGGGTTTTTTTGAACCTTTAATGTACATAATTACATTTATTACAATCAAATAAATGGTATTGGGGTTTTTTTGAACCTTTAATGTACATAATTACNATTTATTACAATCAAATAAATGGTATTGGGGTTTTTTTGAACCTTTAATGTACATAATTACATTTATTACAATCAAATAAATGGTATTGGGGTTTATTTTTAAACTTTTAATTTTCATGATTACAATTAAAGACTATTTATTACAATTAGTAGGCCTATATATATGAATATATGTTTAGTTATATGTATAAAAGCAAGTTGTCTTAACATTTTTAGTAAAAGGTACATTCTTATATTTTTGCAATGGAGTATCTAAAGTTGAAAGACTTGGGAGAAGATAACGAATGTTGGGCTATTAAGGTAAGAGTTTGTCGGTTGTGGGAGTCTTAATTTGAATTCAAAAAGAAATGGAGAACTAATCAGCTTGGATATGGTCTTCATTGATGAAATGGTACATCCCTTTTAATATCGATCAATGCATGTTTAAAAGTTTTATACTAAGATATTTTATGTTGGAGCTTTATGATAATTTTCTTATTTTTCATTTAAATTTCAGGGAACCCTAATGGCTACAACAATCCGGAAGAATTTGGTGTCAAAGTTCAAGCATTTGTTGAAGGAGGGTTCGGTGTATACTGTCAAAAACTTTAAGGTGGTTGTGAATTCTGGAGCTTATAGGGTTGTTAATTCGAAGTTCAAGATCATGTTTACTCTTTTAACAACCATTAAGAGAGAAGATAACAATACACCTTCAATACCGATGCATGGATTTCAATATATTAATGAGAAGACGGTTAACACTCGGGTGAATGATGACACTATTCTCACGGGTACGATCTCTTTAAATTTTTTTACTTCTTAATTTATCGTGTGATGTTTCTTATTTTATTTCATTGCTTGCTACATCCGGTTGTTCTAATATAAAATATATGTATAGATATTGTTGGGTGCATAACAGAAATTGGTGATTTGGAAACTGTTGGTGGGAGTTACACAAAAAGGGATCTTGAAATTATATCGGATTAGTAAGTTTGTTTGGTACTTTCATATACACTTACTTTTACCAATATTATTATATCATTCAAGTTGACATTCTGCCATCTATCTATGTGCAGCTCGGTTACTTGCAAAGTTACACTGTGGGGGGAACTTGGTGAGAAATTTATGGACGAACACCCGATTGACAATGGGAACTGCCCTTTGATTATTATCGTTACCTCAATACGCATTAAAAAGTTTCGAGGTACTTCTAATCCTTGCCTATTTGTTTATTTTAGGTGCTCATGTGGTTAATAATAACATGTATATCGTTTCTTGTGTTAATTTATAAAGTGTCATCAATTTCTCAACATCAAGTGCAAGCAAAATATATGTTAATCTTCCCGACGAGTATATGTCGTCTTTGATTAGTAGGTTTGCAAGTGTATGTCCTCGAGTGAAACTTATGGACCCGGTTTGTGTGGTACCAAAAACAACTGAGGAGGAGATGTTTGATAATAGAACGAGTATCGAACAATTGCTAAGGGCTGATTGGAAAAACGAATCTAAGGTGCAAAATTTTCATCAGTTTTTTATGCCTCAACAAATTACAATAGGTTGTTATACGTGTTTTGCTAATTACATATTTTAATCTTTCACATGTAGGGATATTCTATAACTATCATGGGTGTCATTGACAAATTTGAAACTCATTACGGTTGGTTTTACTTAGCCTGCAAAGGATGTTGCAGAAGGGTTACACCAGTTGATGGTTTTTATAAATGTGGCCCTTGTGATATTGAATCAGACGTCACTCTTACATTGTTAGTGTCCGTTCTTTAAGATTTCTAATGTTCAAAGTCCATGTATTTGCTAACAATTTTTTTTGTTGTAAGGTACAAGCTGCATTTTGTTGTTAAAGACGAATAGATCCCGAGCCTAAGCCGGAGTCAATTTACCGTCTACTAGAAATCCATTTTTGTCTAGTATGGGAACCGTGCGTTGCGCGGTAGTATGAGTACTTTGATTAATGATATGAGGATTGTCTATATAAATTTATATTAATTATTAATAGAATCATCAACAAATCGTACTCAAATAATTCGAAAAAGTTAAATAAAATATAGTTAGTGAAATTTTAATATATATATATATATATATACATACACACACACACACACACACACACATATATATATATATATATATATATATATTGAGAGAGAGATTTGTTTAGTAATAAAGTTGTAAAACTAAATAAAATGAGTAATAATAACAACGGGAATATTAAGGAATCTGTTGGGTTCAAGATTAGTGCTTAAATGTTGTATTCAAGTTTCTCCATTTACTTAGTTTTCTTGTAATTAGTTTAGCATTATTTTCTTTAGTATAAATAGTCTTTTCAGTGTATTCTGTAATTACACATTGATTACATCATTAATCAAAAAGGTGATTTGACAGCAATTATTCTCTCTCTCCAAT